AAACCAAATTTGACTTTGTTCTGACTTTTTTTGCCCATAGGAACGCTTTAATTAGATTTCAATGCATTCCTATAGGAAAACGCGTTTCGCAAGATGAATTTTTCTCAAGACGACATTAACTGCGGAATGAATTAAATCCGTCTTGCGAGGCACCACTTTACTTAGCTCAGATGCCACTGAGCTATCTAGCCATCTTATACTGTAATAATCATGTGCTATCAAATACATTCTGACTTACGGTCACCTTTCTCCGAGTTTTCCAGGTAGAGAAGACTCAGAAGTGATTCCACTGAGCTATCTAGCCACCTTATAATAATCATGTGCTATCAAATACATTTTGACTTACGGTGACCTTTCTCCAGGTTTTGCAGGTAGAGAAGACTCAGAAGTGTATTACCCTTTCCTTCCTCTAGGGACAGCCTGGGACTGTGTGCAGCTGGCCCAAGGCTACCCAGGCTGGCATTTTTTTCTGGGATGCACAGCGAGGAATCGAACTCCCAACCTCTGGCTCTGCAGCCAGATACTTAAACCACTGGGATATCCCGCTAGCTCTTTGGATTCCATAGACAAAAGAGTTTAGAACCCAAGTTAGAGTACAGAACACTGTGCTTTCCAACAGCTTCACATTATTTATTACATTTATATGCCACCTTTCTATCCAAAGTGGCTTACAAACATTTAAGAGAACAAAAACAGGTGTATGCATGCGTTGCAAAGAAAAAAATTATAATGAAACCATATAAACCGGACCTACCATAACAAGCATTAAAATTAAGCAAATACCTGTACATTAAATGCCGCTACAATCTAGAAAACATCCAGAGTAAAAGCAACACATCAGGGTCAGTTAGATATCAAATACCGGTCGAAACAGATGTGGTTTTTTCCCCTCCCTTCTTAAATTCTGTTAGAGTAGAAACAGATCACAAGTTGGAAGGGAGTCCCTTCCATAGCTTGGGAGCCACACAAGAGAAGACCGTCTTGGGAGTTTTTTAGGTGGCCATGGTTGCACTCCTTACACAACTCATTAAGTTAGGACAGCATTTGTTATTCTTGCACTGCAAGAAGATACTAAGGCCAGACGGACATATTATTTAGGGCCGCCTGCCTCTGAACCCCAGTCATAGCTCACGTCCCTTCTCACCTAGGTAGTTGCCTCTGAGCCTGTACAGAATGGCAGTTACACCGTCAGTAAGGAACCTTAACACTCCATACACATCAGGAATTTAAAGTGAAACAATCCTGTGCCGTCATGTCATTCTGACTTAGGGCAAACCTTTTCAGAGTTTTCTAGGCAGAGAACACTCAGAAGTGCCTTTCCCCTTCCTTTCCTCTAGGGGGAGCCCTGGGACTGTGTGCAGCTTGCCCAAGGCTACCCAGGCTGGCTCTACTCCCAGGAGGCCCAGTGGGGGAATCAAACTCCCAACCTCTGGCTTTGTAGCCAGAGATCTCAACCACTGACTTACTCAACCAGCGAGGAATTTAAAAGGCCAGGTGAAAAACAAAGGTCCCCCTCATCATTGTACTCTTTAACTGAACATCATTATAGGCTGTTTTCCGTTATTCTGATGACAGCTTCCCTCCCTCACCCCCCCATCTCCCCCATTTTGCCCAGGAGGGTCCCCTGATCGATGCTGAAGCCACCTGGGGTATTTGCCTATTCAGCATTATTCAAAAGATCATCCACCTAGAAGCCCCCATGACAGCCACCTGCTCTTTAAGGCAATCTCAGTGATGAGCAATCCGGAGAATTTCTAGGGTAATTCTGAGTGTTCAATGTGATTGGCATTCAACTGTTGTTCTTCGATGCCAGTCAAGCTGCTTCTGACAGAGGGTGACTCTTAACAGGGTTTTCACTGGCGTGACATGATCGAGGAAAAGTTTGTTAGAACTGTCCCGCCGTGAGTTTCCCTAGCTGAGTGAAGATTTGAACTCAGATCTCTAGTCTTACACTTCGTCTACTATACCACCCTAGCGTTTCTGTAATCATTAAGTAAAAGCAAACGTGTGCTGCTAATATATACCGCCCCATAGCACTTAATGCACTCTCTAGAGGGGTTTACAAGTTAATTATGCAGGCTACACATTGCCTTCCTTCCCAGCAACCTGGGTACTCAATTTATCCATCTTGGACGGATGGAAGGCTGAGTGAACCTTGAGCTGGCTAGCTGGGATTAAACCTGAGTCATGAGCAGAGTTTTGGCTGCAGTACTGCAGTTTAACCACTGCGGCCATGAGGCTCCTACAACAACATAGGAAGGCAGGTTAGCATGACAATCTCTTTATTTTAGGTGATATTAACAGACTGAGTTTATCAACAGTGCTCATCTAACAAGTTTACGATGGTTGAACCATTTTGTGTCACCCCGATTCATTGCTAGATTCCGTCGACCTCACGGACTTTAATGGGATTCATGATATTTACTTACAAAAATCTGATCACATTCTTTAATAAAACACCCAATGCTATACGAACAGTATGCAAATCCTATTGTCGTTGCGATGTGCCGTCAAGTCAGCCACCGCAAAAGGGCTTTCAAGATAACGTGAGATGTTTAAGCTGTGTTTTTACCAGTTCCACACACCCAGGGAGCTTCCACGGCTGAGCTGAAATTCGAACCCGGTCCTCCTGAATCCTAGTATCTCACTCTATCCACACCACACCGGGTATATCCTGTCCAAATACATGCATGTATAATACACAATATTATGTTAAAGGTATACCTTTAAAAGGTCAAGTATACAGAAATGTCTTGACTTGGCACAGAAAAAGTAATACAAGTGACTCAGCTCCGTGGTCATTCGTAGTACCCGGAGGCTCTGTTTTCAAGACTCAATATGTTTAGGTTACATGGAAATATCTGGTATCCATGAAATTCTCCTGCCGTGGTCTCCCCAAGCTTTCAAGTGACACCTACCAACCTGTCAAGCTGTACATAAGATTGGTGTGTTTAAGCATCTGTGCCATGCAGCTTATGTATTTCTCCAGGGCAACTCTCAAGCCCACCTCAAGTAATATGAGACTCATTATACTGGTCTGATTTACAGGGATGTTTTTATTTTTATTTTTAAAAAAACCCAGTGTAGGCTTAATAAAGCTGGCTGGACAGCTCTGTAAGTTAGGTTATTGACTGTGGAACCAGAGGTCAGGAGTTCAATCCGCCACTGTGCTTCCAGGGAGAAGAGCCAGCCTGTGTAGCCTTGGGCAAGCTGCACAGTCCCGGAAGGAAGGAATGGGAAACCACTTCTACTACTCCTTATTCAGAAAACCTTGAAAAGGATCACCCTAAGTCAGAACTGAATATGGAATATGGAAGTGAGAGCTGGACCATCAAGAAGGCTGAACGCCGAAGAATAGATGCTTGTGAATTGTGGTGCTGGAGGAGGCTCTTGAGAGTCTCCTGGACTGCAAGGAGAACAAACCTATCCGTTCTGAAGGAAATCAACCCTGAGTGCTCACTGGAAGGACAGATCCTGAAGCTGAGGCTCTGATACTTTGGCCATCTCATGAGAAGAGAAGACTCCCTGGAAAAGACCTTGATGTTGGGAAAGAGTGAAGGCAAGAGGAGAAGGGGATGACAGAGGATGAGGTGGCTGGACAGGGTCACTGAAACGAGCAACATGAATCTGACCCAATTCCGGGAGGCAGCGGAAGACAGGAGGGCCTGGCGTGCTCCAGTCCATGGGGTCACGAAGAGTCGGACACGACTTAACAACTACACAAAAGTCAGAATTGACTCAACGGTACATGATAATTATTAATATAAGTTGACAGCCACTTGAAAGGTACTACATAAACACCCAGCCTTATTAATCGTCTTTTACCACCAGAAACGGATCGCTCATTCTGCATCATCTCTGCACAATTATTTCTGTAAAACATCATCCATATGCATCAGCCATAAACACCCTGGTGCTTCGGAGACCAGGCGCTTTGAGTTCTTCCTGTTCCCTTTAGAAGTGAGGTACCTATGACCATCCAGATCTTGCTGGGCTCAAACTCCCATCTGTTGCAGACCTCATGGTCATCGGTACAGGACGATGGTAGTTGGAGTAGTACAACAACAGCTGAAGAACAACAGGTTGACCGCCCGGCTGCCATACATGCCTGAGAATATCTTCACGGTCACTATCACCTGACAGCTGAAGAAAGTCATTGCCTTATTCCTACTAGAAACCCAGTAAAACCTTCTTTTAAAAATGTAGATATATTTACTTAGTAACGTCCAGCATTTGCAAGCACACTTTCAAAACCAGGCACAAGAACAGAAGCTCAAGTTGGGGGGGGAGACCCCTCTTTCCACCGAGAAGGCTTGTGAAAGAATGGCTTTCTTCAAAGGAGCAAAAGGTAGGTGACGGACAGACGGTCGAATGAATTTGTATTAGGGGTGAGTGCCAGCCTGCCCCTCTTTCCCCCCCCCACTGCCACCAGCAAAGGGGGGGGGGAAGAATGATCCGAGAACCCGCCTGAGAGAACACTGGGGGTTCTCCGCATGCCACTGAACCGCCAAACAAGTCACGCTGCTCAAACGAAGCCTAGGAAACCCAGACTCTACGTGACCTGATTACTTATTTAACAGGAAGTTGCAGGGGAGAGAGAGAGAAAAAAATTAAATTTACAGCCGTTCAGGACACCCTACTTAAACCACCATGGCAATACTTGGGGGGGGGCAGCGATGAGAGAATGGGTAGGAGGAAGAGAGAGTGCATGAAAACAGAATGGAAATCAGTGGTTTCCAGCTGTTTGGTTCATTTTTTGGGGAGGGAGGGAGGCCATTTCCATGGGGGGGGGAGAACCTACAGAGCCACCTTTTTGAAACAGGAGCACCAAGAACCTTCCTTTATAGTCATGCGAGAGAGAACACCAGCGCCTTGGAAATGGGTCGGATCCGTCAAGGAGGAGCAGGGGGAAAGGGAAGGGGAAGGGGGGGTGCAGAGAGAGAGAGAGGCGCCGCGTGGGAAGACGGAAAAGGCCGAGCCAGCAGGAGAGGCCAACTTACCAGGGCTGTTGGCTTCATTTTCCAGAACGTGCAGTTCTGCGCAGTCGGCCAAGGAATGCTCGAGGCAGAGCTGGAGGAAGCGGGCTTGACTCCGGTTCACCCGCTTCAGCAGAGAGAGCAGGGCCACCGTCTGCTCGCACTCGTTCCAGCCTTTGAACCAACCTGCCAGGACGCCCACCTGGTCTCGAAACATCATGGTTGGCCTGAGTGCGGGACAGACCAGGAGAAAGACCCAAGCCTATAATAGATGCTTTCTTCAAGGTTGGGGGGGAGGAAAAAAAGTTTAAAAAATAATAATAAAAGATTCCTTCTCCAGGACTTCTTTCACCCGATCCTCCACCACTCCTCCTTCTTCTTCCTCCTCCAGCTGACTTTTGCAACTGTTTGCTGCGATTGGAGAACAGAACGCACAACTCTTGAGGTTTCTGTGCGTGTCTTGTTTTTTTGTGTGTCTTTTTTTAACACAGTTGCCCTCCTTCGGAATTCCTCCCCAAAAGGATGAGGAGGGTGGCCACAGGACCCTAACGCGTGGCGGTGTGTAGACAGACTTCTAGAGAGCCGGATTCCTCAAGAAGGGACGGCGTCCACGCATGAAGACGTGTGGGGGGGGACGTATATCGGATCGCCTTTCCTTCCTTCCTTCCTTCGCTACCCCCTCGGGCTTTCCTCGCCTCCCCCACCAAGAGTCTGGTTATTTTAGCCCGGCGGTCTCCGGCTCCTCGGTCCTTCTTCGGGCGGGCGGGCGCGTTCTGGATCACCCACCAGCGCCGCCACCGCAAGCAGCATTCCTCACTAAGGCAGCAGGCGGGGGTGGAGGGGGGGGGGTTGTGAGAACCCTTCACAACTGTAGGAGGGGAGAGAGGAGAGAGAGAGAAGGTAGTGTGGGTTTGCTTGCTTGCTTTTTTTTTTCCTGCAGTGATGATAACGATGACACAGTTTGCACACTATGATTCAGCAGGGTGTAGAGAACTCCGCTTCCTAATATGACAGCGTGAAATCTGGGAGCATGGATTCCTGGGGAGGGGGGGGGACACACAAGTTGGGTTTTGGGTTGTTTTTTTTTAAGAGGGGGACGAGAGGGGGAAAAAATGCAGATCACGGGCTTGCTGATCCCTCTGCATCTCTCTTGGTTTCTCTGTGCAACCCCCCCCCTCTGAAAAATACCAGGCTAGGGAGAGGTGGGGGGCAGGCAGGAAGAGCCTGAAAATGCAGCACACCCACGGGGGGGGGGTGGATGATGATTGAGAAGCGTGGGCTTTGCTGGGCACCCAGAGAGGAGGCGGGAAAGGGTCCTTTTTCTATTCAGCAAAAAGAGGGAGAGCCTCGATGGCTGGGTAATCCCC